TTCAATTACTCCATGTCACTTTCTCTCCTTCTACGGCCTTTTTTCTTTCTGTGACCTAAAAAAAAAAAAAAAAAAAAAAAAAGGGGGTACTTTCAGAATGCAATTTTTTCAGTGAAATCCTGACCACATTGGAAATCTACAGCTACATCAAAGCAGAACATAGGGCAAATGTCATGAGACACAACAGCAGTTGTGCCTGTGCTGTTTCAACAACACATTTTACACTTACTGCTTATAGGAGTAAAAAGTATGTTTGAGAACATACTTTTTGAAACAGACACTTAAGGGGGAATTTGGAGGAAAACAATAAATACGTGGCAAAGGATATTCTGGAGCGAATGTATCAGTGTGAGTGACAATAACTCACTTTACACCTCCAAGGTGTAAGGATGGCTTACCACAGACCTTTGGTGTAACTGTCCCTTCAGACCACCTGTTTATACAGGCAGACATTAATTAGGGCACAGCAAAATCAGAGTGTGCCCATTTCCATGGGCAACCACATCGTGGCTGATCATTTCATCAGCCAATAACCAACACAGAAAAAGACAGTGAAATAAAGTTCTGTCTCTCTGAAAAAGTTCACATCTCAGGAAACTTCAAGATCTCTATACTGAAGCAGTATTTTCTGGATATACAGCTGGGAGAGACCCAGGGCCACCCTCCTGGTTTTGCTATAGCTTCATCTGCTGCAAAACACATTCAGAAGGAAGATACTTGATGCCATTTTAAAAGACTCCAAAAACTCTCTTCCTTCAAAAAAATGTGCCAGAGTGATGTGTATGAAGCAAGGAATTTTCCCAAATTTTAATGTCTGATTTCAAACCCACAGATCAGTGCCACCTTTCTAGCTAAAAGACAGAAAGGCATAAAAGGGTAGCTTTTTCGATTTCCTCTTTACCTTTCTATATTCTCATCCCATATCACCTTAAAAAGATGCAAACCACTTCACAGCTTTAAGAAAATATTTTTGATTTGCAGAAGAGATTGGCTGTTTTATTAAAACATCCCATTCTAAGCTGGAAAGACCTCATGCAATAACTTTTTTAACAGCTCCAACACAGTTTGCATGTCACCCCAGCTCCCTCAAGGTCAGGCCTTCAGATACCTCTAACCCACACAGCTCCAAATCTCAATACCAGCACAATCACAGCAGACAATCTTTGTAACAAACATTATATTCACACATATAACAAATGTTATAGTGCTTGTACAGAAAAAAACCAAATAAACAAACTCCACTCCCCAAAAAATACAAAACAAAACCACAAATATAAGAAAACAATCATACCAGTAGAGGACTCAACATAACCAGCTGAAGTCCTCTGGTACATGCAATTTCTACATCTGAAGGAATAAGCCAGTGGGGAACAGTCTCGATTTGGAAAGGGGAAAAAAGAAAAAAACCACCAAAACATAAATTTTCTTTTGCTTCTTATAATTTTCTCAAAACTAGCTTTTGAGGAAAGGAACAGGCAGAGGTGTGGATGGAACATGACTGAGGTGTTTAAAGCCACAGTTGCCCAGGTCAATGCACACAGACACCTGTAATTACTAAGGAGAGAAGAAATCATTGGTCAGATGCTGCATGAAATACTCCAGTTGGGCTGTTTGGGCATCAAGAACCAAATCCATCACAGCATCCCAGCAGAAACAGCAGCTGGAAAGAAAGACACTAAAGTAGAGCTGCTGCACACAGAGGAGTGGACACACACTCACCACCCACAGTTCATAGCTTTGGACTGATTGACAAAGGAAACTCAGCTGCTCACACCCAAATCATCTCATACCTCTCCACAGAAGGACAAGCAAGGTGGGTGGGGCGTGCTACCTTCAGCACAGAGAAGGACAGAAATGTCAGGGGAGCTTTGCCAAGTCATTTTCCTCCTTTTCTCTCACTTTTTTGGTCCTCCGCTTTTACCAATTAAAGTCATCAGGGGAATAAATGCCGTGCAGTAAGTCTGTCTAATGGCAGCTTAAGTAAGAAGCTCCCAGAACCAAAGTTGGACATACTATAAAATTTCCTTGAGGTTGTGCCAATCCAGCGCCCTTGTGCGTCCTGCTGACAGTGACTGAACACAGCAGCAGCAGTTCAGTAATTTCCTTTCCTGGAAGAACAGGAAGGAATGCAACACTATTTTAGCCTCATGTTGGTACGAAAGTATTACACTGTGAACAACGGCTCCTCCAAGCAAGTAACTTTGGACTAAATGATCAAGTTTCATTCACTCACAGTTAAAAAACTAACACTCAGCACCACCCAAAAAAACCTAAAAATCTGTGAAACTAGAATTAAATTTGAAAGGGCAAAACATCACGACTTAAGTGTGGAGAAGGATTAGAATTAAAGGTACAGAAATTACCTAGAATTTACACATGAAATAGACAACTTTATAGGAAAGGGCTACAGAATATCCAATGCTCAGATGTCCAAAGGGAGTTTATTATCTGGCATTAAAAAAAAAAGAACAGAAAGAAAATCAACTGATGAGAAAGAGCTCTATCGCACTCATAGGACTGATGACAAAGGAGACAAGAGCTGCCCTGCATCAGCTGTCCTGCAGGAACAATGGAAAAAGAAGTAACAAATCAACACTTTCAACCACCACCATTGTAATGGAAGAAATTTACATCAAAGCACAGAAATGCATATTGGAATGCAATTGTACCACACTGCGAATCTACCTGCTGTCATTACAGGCTCAGACACCCTCTGCACCAGGAGATCTCCCTCCAGCATCCAAGATGGAAGCACTCTCTCTTTGAATAAATTTTGACTGTTCGCTTTCATTATCATCAGAAAGAGGAACCTGAAACAATATTTACCTTTAATATTTAAAAGGTACTGGTTAGTACCTTAATCCAGTTACAAAAAGGGAAGGAAACCAGATCACAGTTTCTACACAGTTGCAGCCTGGGTGACCACTTACTTTTTGTTTTATAGTTCTTACTCACTCAGAAAAACAAAATCTCTAGAAACCTTCATGCAGTAGAACAAACCCTCTCTCCTTAGACGTTTGGAATAAATATCTAAAAGGCTACAAACTGAAAGTTTCATAGAAGAGCTTCACCAGCACCTTGCTCTAGAGTTTCCACACACAGACATAAGAGAAAGAGCAGGTTTAACAAATGCCTCTTTGTCCAAAAAACCCCAAACAAACCAAACAAAAAACCCACAAACAGAAAAGTCTTGCTAAGAATTGTAGGAATGCTACTTGCATTCCTACAGTTCCTTTCTCCAGAAAGTAACCAGACTCTAAATCCTGTCTGCAAAAACAATGTAAATACACCAAAGTCGCATTCATTATTTACTGAAAGCAGCACTATCACTTTGAATCTCCACTTACTGACAGGTGAGTGTTCACCCCAAGGATCTCAGCTACAGCAAAGGCTGACACTTCATTTGTTGTGTGCAGTTGTTACTTACTGTACCCCAGTATTGACCAATATGTCGCTTTAGCGCTGGATACACAAAAGAAGATGTTTAAGAAAAATCCCACCTGCTCCCCACACTATTTATCAGACTGTCTGAAAGTCACCGGACTTGGCAGTGTTTAAAAAAAAGGCAAAAGATGCTTACTTTGAAAACTCTACTTTACTGGACAGCCAGGGAAAAAACAGGGAATTGTTTATCCATGTATTTGTATGGATCTTGACAACACAGCTCCATCCCAGCTGACAATCCAAATGAAACAGGCTGCCAGGACACTACAAAAAGATATTATTTACAGCCAGCCCAAGACACCCACAGTCCAATTCCAGGCTCTCCTCTCTCCTCTTTCAGAGGCTTTTGGGCTGGTTGGAACAGTCATTCATTCCCCCAGGCCTTCACAGGTACTCAGGGGCAGTTACTGATATGGACCAGAGACCAGAACTGGACTTTGTTCTGTAGTACTCAGCTCTAGCACTGAGTCCAAAACGCTCCTGTAACACATTTATGTACTTGCACAGCACACAGTCCCAACCAATAAAGCAACAAATTTTGAGTACTCAGCTTTGTCTGCAGTAATTTACTTCTTGAGGAAAAAAAAGAAGTATAGAAAGCACAACACCTTTGTAATTTTCAACACACACAAATAATGAATTTCATTAAAAAATTAAGCACCCACCAAATGTCTAGAGGCAGCATCATTATTTCTCATTTTTGTAACTCCTTGTACCTCAGAGCTGGAACGTGCTGGTTCCATTAACAGTGTTATACAGGACATCTCAACAGCGTGAACAGTTGGTGCTTCTTCTGCATCAGCCTCCTCAGTTTTTTCTGACAAAGCAAAATGTATTTTAGCTACTCACACATCACAAATATAAACATGCACTTTTGTCTCAAACACAAAAGTTGGTCTGTATGTTTGTCACTAATAAATACTTTGAAACTGAACATCAACATCCTATTACACCAACTTACAGAGGAAATAAACATGCCTTTCTTTCACCTCACACCTGAAGTATTTTGAACAAAAGACTCTAATCATTGCTGTGGTGTTTTGGGTTTAAGTACAGAATTTACACTGGTCACTGCCATGACAAAACTTGGAGAAAGCTGAAATTACAGCTCAGAATTTGATTCACTGTAAATCTGCGCAACTCTGCAAAATCTGGTTCTACACTAAATGTCAGACAATGATTTTAAGATATGGTTTTCAGGGTCAGGTGCTCAATTAATCCAGCATCTTCTGGCAAGTTCTCACTAGAGGCAGCTCTCAGGTGCCACCAGCTACTCAGATGCTGGTTTCAAAAGCCCCATTCAGAGCCACCACATCCAAAATGCTTTTAAGCTGTGAAAATCACCCAAACTGCAATTGTTTTCCCTTCAAGACTTTGCCCTTCCCTACTCAATTCACTGGCACAAAGCATTAAGGAAAAACAAGTCTAATTGCTGCTGTATTCCCTGCACAGCCACACTGGGGAGTCACTACCACCTGTTCTGCAGCTCTCTACACTCCAGGGAAGGCATATGATGACCAGTTGAACTTTCTCTTCATTGCCTCATGAAGAGAAGCATGAGGGGCCAAGAGAAGAGAGGCCAGGCTCTGCCCAAAAAGGCCCCTCCAGGTGCTGTTTGGGAGGTTTTGGTTCTCCAGGGGCTCACATAATCACCAAATGGGTTAGGATAGAAGGGACCACAGTGGGTCATCTGGTCCAACCCCCCTGCTCAAGCAGTGTCATCCCAGATGATGTGCCATCCCATGGCACAGGATTGCATCCAGACAGTTCTGCAATATCTCCAGTGAGGGAGACTCCACGACCTCTCTGGGCAACCTATTCCACTCACACAGTAAAGAAAAACTCACACCGTGAGTTCTTCCTCACTTTCAGCTGGAACTTCCTGTGCATCAGTTTCTGCCCCTTGCGTCTTGTACTATTACTGTGCACCACCGAGCAGAGCCTGGCTCCATCCTCTTGGCACCCCCCAGAAAATATTTATACACATTAATGAGGTCCCCTCTCAGCCATCTCTTCACGAGGCTGAGCAGCCCCAGCTGCTTCATCCTTTCACCTTAAGAGAGACGCCCCATTCCCCCAGCCATCCTCGCTGCTCTCCGCTGGTCCCGAGCTCCCCTCGCCACGGACCCGGCGGTGCCCCGAGCCCGGACACGGTGCTGCCCCTCTAAACCCCTGCGGACACGACCCATCCCGGCCCTGCGAGGGGGTGTCGCTACCTCGGGCCCACGGCTCCGCGAGGCCGAAACGGGGATGCGGGCGACACCGACCCCGATCCCGGCAGGAACCGCCGCCTTCTGACGACGCGGGGGCCGCCTCGTGACGAGGTGAGGCACCGCCTCCGCAGGCCCGAAGCTGCGGAGATTGGCCCCAAAACAAGTGAGGCAATACCCTTCCCACACGGACGGCAGGGACATGGCAAATGGACATCCAGCCCCGGGTGCTGCCACCCACGGCCGCCCCAACACACCGCGACAGCGGCCGCGGTGACGCCGCCCCGCCCCGGGGCCGCGGGTATGGACGCGGAGAGCGCCGGCGGCCGAGACAACGCTGCAGGAGCAGGATCAGGAGGAGGAGGAGGTGGACAGAGGGACTTCGTATCCGCCCTCCCTCCCTAGGTGAGCTCCCGGATTTTCGGCGGCCTGGACGTGGAGAGCCTGTGCCACGCGTCTTCGGCGTGCAAGGGCTGGTACTGCGTCATCGAGGCCAACGGGCACCACTGCCTGGCCGTGGGGGCCGTCTGCCGGCGCGAGATCGACTGCGACCGCGGGAAGGACTATACCTGGAAGGTAAATCCCACCTTGGGGACACAGCGAGGCTTCCAGGTTGGGCGGTGAGAATGTGGAAGGAAATGACATCGGCGCGTCTCGCCCCATCCCAGGGTGATGGGGGCAGCGGTGTGGTGACAATGCGGCTGGCTCCGTAGCCGGAAGGCTGGTAAAATGGACTGAGAAGGAAGGCAAGGCTGTTCTTTTTCCTGCTCAGGCTAGGCTTTTTCCTGCCCAGGCTGTCCTTTTTCTTGCCCAGGTCCACACCCGTCATATCCTGGTTAATCCTCACCCTTGCACAGCCTCAGCGCTGACCCTCGTCCCAGCAAAGCCCTAACATGGGACAAAGCCCATGCAGACAGGGCTGGGAGGGAGCAGATAACATAATGCTGACTAGGCAATGTGTGCTCTCTGGTTGTATTTCGTAGGAATAGGTGTGCTGGTTAGGAATGGCTTCCTGGAAAATCATCCTGGATAGCTCTGCCTCGATATGCTTTCAGCAACACGCATCCAAGAGAAAAAAAAAATTGGAGTATAGAAAGGGAAACAAGCAGGAGCTTTTAAAGGCTGTTTTGAAAATCTCCCCTAACATAGTCCCAGTTACAGGTGGTCTGAGGAGTTAGGGGCAGGTTCAGCTCCAGAACACACTGGATGATCTCTCACTGTTGAATCCAGCCTGGAAGATGAGGTAGATCAAGAAAGGATCTGTTAACAGATTCCACAGGTTACTCTGGGCCAAGTAATTCCCCCATCCTCAATTCAGCTGGTGTGTTTAAGAGCAGGGGGGCAGCAGAAGGGTGAAAAGAGAGAAAAGCAGCAGCTAAAGAAACCAAGGAAGCCACAGTTCTGGGCTCTGACATTTTGGTAGAGTTGCTGCACTGTGAGGTAGTGGTTACCCTTTTGGTGTACAGATCTTGATACTCTTGCACAGCAATTTCCAGAACTCCCTGCACTGATTGTCTGTTTTATCTGGAGGGGATTTGAAATTGAAGCAACAAACACACCAAGTCGGCATTTTCTTGCCATAAAAGGTTGATGGAAAAGAAGAATCCAGCCAACCTCCAGAGTTAAATGTCACAGATAACCTAACCAGAAAGAGGAAGCGAAAGGTGCCTCTTTTAAAGAGTAAGATGAGTTCCTGGTTTAGGTTTTTCATCTTGACCATCAAAGACTTGAGGCAGGAATTGATTTTCCACCCAACTTCGAACAGAAAAGTTGGAAGTAGACCAAGGTCAGCTTCTTGGCAGCACTGCACCTTCCTGGGCTTAGTGTCTAGAGATCCAAAGGCACATTCCAAGTTCTTTTTCTAGCCTTACTCTTCCAAGGCAAAACTTACTTGTGTTGAATGCTGCCTAAATTGTTTCATTTCCAAAATCTGAGTAATGTTTTTTTTCCACCAGATCACATTATTGAGAAAGTACCGGAAAAGCAAGGTGAAGCAAGAATGGCTGAGAGGGAAATATAGCAACATTCCTTCGCAACACAGCTTACCAGAGAAAATCATGTATCCCATGGACATTGATACATGGGGAGAAATCTTGGAAGCAGAACATGAAAGATAAGAAACCAGTGCTGATTCTTGCAACTCAAAAACCTTTTGCCAATGACACACAAACTGTTTGGCAGTTGTCAAACTGATTTTGAGTGATTTTTAACTGATTTTGAACTGATGATGAAATTTTCTCAGAAGAATTTACAGGTGTCTTTTTCTTTGCAGTTTATTGTATTAATTTTATGTAAAATTCTAAATAAGACTAAATGTTCAGTTGTAATTTATATTTATAAATTTAATGCTCTGCTGTATTGTCAAAAATATGTTGATTGTATTTTCAATTTGCACGTTTTCTTTTGAAAGAGATTATTTTTATTTAAAAAAAGAAAGGTATGTTTGACTTGAAATGTATCGTACCAGCAGCACGAGAACCCACAAAGGAAGGCTGGGTTAGGGACAAATACAGACACTGGAAAGAAAAGAAGATGACAAGCTGGGCACCTCACTATCAGCTGAACATTCCCAGTGTCCACCTCAAGGGACAAAGTCCTCAGAAGGATCTCTAAACTTGCACCCCAGTTTTTGGCACCAACTTGCAAAACTGCTGCTAGTAAAAGAGGATGCACCTGTCACGTTATCTAACATAAAAGTGACCACAAATTCAATTTATTACAATTCTCTTTGACTATCACCTTTCTCTACCTTCTTTGCACTAAAGTAACTGTGGAAAATGCTGGGAAGGTCTCTGTTGCTCAAGGTATTCCTGCAAAATTCAGTCACCAATCTTCTGTAGGAAGACTTCTACCATGGTTATGAAACGTGGTTATTTAACCCTTGCGGATTATCTGGTGAAAATATCTTGTATGTTTCCTCCCCTTTATTGCAGGTGGCTGGGCTCACAGGCTGTTGTAGGTGCCCATATCTACACCTATGCCAAAATAATTATTCTATTTAAAGAAGGAAGAAACATAACAGTCTGCCTTCTATTTAGGAAGAAACATAACAGTCAGGTGAAACAGGTAGCTCTAAAATGCTTCCAAGAACAGAATGTTGCCTGATCCTTTCTCTAGTTTAGAGCATTCAACAGATTTCCTCAAAACTGATCCACGTCCCTCAGCCTCCTGCATGTTCCCCATTAGAACAGGTCTTCAGTCAATAAGCACTAAGTACCAATAAGTACCTTTTCTGAATCATGAGTAACGTATTTAACAGAGCTTTCTCATCAACAGCAGTGCAGACTATTCTTTGTAGATAAGCGTTAGTTCTAGGAGCAGGAACCCATTGCACTAGGTTTTAAAGATCTCCTTCTAGTGCCAAAAGGGTTGATGCTGTTTTTGTGGGACAGTTACTGCATTAGCCAAAATGGATGCAGTACCCAAAACTCACTGAAGCTTCCACTGTCACCCTGCTACCGAACATGACTGAAGTGTAGCTCACAGTAAAGAACCATTGCTAAGTATAAGTGTGATGCAGAGCTCAGTGAATTGCAAACACTGCTTCCTCTATTAGCTATTCTGCTCTAAAGTTATATCTAGTTAGCTCAAATTAAAAAAGAAAAAACCACACCAATACCCACACCCAGGCACATCAGTTTTTCCGCCAAAGTTGCTGCCTTGCTCCCTGCTCACAGCATTTATCACCTCAACTTTAAGAGCGCTAGAAGTGAAAAAAGTGCATATGAATTAATATAGAAAACAACACTAGCAGTACATTTTCACCACCTCAAAAGTACCCAATTTTTTTAATCATAAGATAGGGAAAGTACATAATAATGGATCTAGTCCCTCACCCTTCTCACCCAGCCTCTTCTGTTGCCTTCAGTCTCGAACTCCCAGATATTTAACCCCTATGCCTGCTCCTTTCATGCTCCTCAGCTGTCAGTTCTCATATATATCCCCTCAGGATATCCCCTCAGTTTTTAAATAGAATAATTATTTTGGCATAAATCCTAACACAGTTACTTCACTGTGCACTTAGCTGTAGCTTCTCCCCATTCTCATATGAGCATAGGAATTCCCAGTATCTGTTGTACCTCTACCTCTGTTCAGATCAGGTGGCTGTGCCTCCTTAAACACAAGGAATTAAACACTGAGCTATGCAATTAGACAAGGCTGCACCAGAAAATATGAGGGTAAGGGCTTTCATTCCTGGTGAAAAGGGATGTTGTTCGCATGTACTTCCCCTGCCCTAAAATGACCAGTCCCACTCCCAGAATTGAATAACATCGAGGATTTCTCCCAGACCAAAGGTGCCAGGACAGAAAGCACTTCCTGCTTTTGGAGTGCCTAGGTTGACCCACCAACTGCAGCAGAAACCACGAGGGCAAGCCCTTTCCTTGGGAAAAGGGCTGTTATTTGCTTGCAGGAGCCCTGAGCTGTAATTGCCAGTCTGAGTCCCAGAATTGAATACCATCGAGGATTCCTCTGAAACGAAAGGGGCCAGGAGAGAAAGCTCTTCCTGGTTATGGAATCTCCAAGGTGGCCCAGACACTGCACCAGAAACCACGAGGGTAAGGGCTTCCTTTCCTGGGAAAAAAGGCTGTTGTTTGCTTGCAGGAACCCAGCACTGAAACTGCCCTTCCGACTGGCAGAATTGAATACAGAAGAAGATTCCTCCTAGACAAAAGGTGCAAGGAGAGAAAGGTCTTGCTGCTTGAGCAGTGCTCACTGTCTCACAGACATTGTACAGGAAAACAGGAGGGAAAAGGCTTTCGTTCCTTGGGAAAAGGGCTGTTGTTTGCTTGCAGGAACCCTACCCTAAAATTGCCAGTCTAAATCCCAGAATTGAGTTTCAAGGAGGATTCCTCCCAGACAAAAGGTGCCCTGCACAGGATGCTCCTGCTGGCAATGTAGTGTTGAGAGTGGCTACCAACTGCACTTGAGTGAGGGAGGTCAAGGCTTTCTTTGCTGGATGGAATGGCAGTCGTTCGCTTGCAGGAGCTCTGCGCTGAAATTGGCTGTCTGACTCCCAAAATTCACTATGGATGAAGATTCCTGCCAGACAAAAGGTGCTCGCACAGAAAGCCCTTGCTGTCCATGTAGTGCCGACACCTTTTACCTATTCTGACACAGTTTTAACTATTCTTTTACTATGTTGACTATTAATAAAGCCAATCTAACTGCATCACTAAAAAATAGAGGTTTTATTCTTCTCTCTTCTTTGTCCTGCAGAAAGGAGCAGAATTCAGCCAGAATGGCAGAATGGCTTGCAATGTTTGCATTAAAGAATTTTTATCACACTTAGTGCAGGGATTTCTAGACTACAGAGAAGGAGGCATGCATGGACTTATTTAACATACTCTTACACACGTTTTTCAAACTTATCCACACTATTCAAATTTTCTAACAACACACTGTCACTACTAATTATAAATCAATACATATTTCATAGGTGGGGTTAACTTAAGCAGTCTTTTCTTTCTCATTTTTAACTTTGATAACAGGTGTTCATTGCAAGTATCCTTATGCTGAAGTAAGCAGCTTCTTCTCTCACTCTCACAGACTGCCCAAGGCCATCTGATGGATTCCATTGTTATCTCTGAGGCCTCTTGCTGGGCAGCTGCCTCTGGCTCTCTAGCCTGAACACCTGTTTGATTTCCCACAATGTAGTGCCAAGAGTGGCCCACAAACTGAGCATGAAAGACGGAGGGTAAGGGTTAGGGTTAGGGTTAGCATTAGGTTTAGGATTAGGGTTAGGGGAAGGGTTAGAATTAGGGTTAGGGCTTTCTTTCCTGAGTGGAACAATACTCATACGCTTGCAGGAGCGCCGCGCTGAAGTTCACTACGGACGAGGATTCCTCTCAGACAAAAGGGACCTGCACAGAAAGCTCTTGCTGTCCATGTAGTGCTGAGAGTGGCCCACCAACTGCACTTGAGAGACGGAGGGTCAGGGCTTTCTTTCCTGGGTGGAACAGCAGTCATTCACTTGCAGGAGCGCTGCACTGAAATTGGCTGTCCAACTCCCAAAAATTCAGTATGGACAAAGAGTCCTCCCAGACAAAAGTTGCCCGCACAGAAAGTTCTTGCTGTCCATGTAGTGCTGAAAGTGGCCCACAAACTGCACATGAGAAACGGAGGGTAAGGGTTATGGTTAGGGTTTACAGTTAGGGTTAGTTTTAGGATTAGGGTTAGTATTTGGGGTTAGGGTTGCAGTTAGAGTTAGGTCTAGGGTTATGGTTAGGATTAAGGGTTACGGTAAGTGTTAGGGTTAGGATTAGGATAAGCATAAGGGTTTTCTTCCTGGGTGGAATGGCAGTCATTGGCTTCCAGGAGCCCTGCACAGAAATTGGCCGTCTGACTCCCAAAATACAGTAGGGAGGAAGATTCCTTCCAGATAAATGGTGCCCGCACAGAAAGCTTTTGCTGTTCATGTAGAGCTGAGAGTGACCTACAAACTGCACATGTGCAGAAACGGAGGGTAAGGGTTAGAGTTAGGATTAGGGTTAGGGTTAGGATTTAGGGTTAGGCTTGTGGTTAGGGTTAGCATTTAGGGTTAAGGTTAGGGTTAGAGTTAAGGTTAGTGTTAGGATAATAGTTTTCTTCCTGGGTGGAACAACCGTCTTCTCTAGCACGTACCCTGCTCAAAAATTGACCGTCTGATTCCCAAAATTCAATACGGGCGAAGATTCCTCCAAGATAAAAGGTGCCCACACAGAAAGTGCTTGCTGTCCATGTTGTGCCGAGAGTCTCGCACCAACTGTACATGAGAGGCGAAGAGGAAAGGCTTTGTTTGCTGGGTGAAACAGCAGTCATTGGCTTGCAGGAGCCCTGCACAGAAATTGGCTGTCCGACTTACAAAATTCACTATGGATGAAGATTCCTCCCAGAAAATAGGTACCCACACAGAAAGCTCTTGCTGTCCAAGTAGTGCTAAGAGTGGCACAGCAATTGCACATGATAGACGGATGGTAAGGGCTTTCTTTCCTGGGTGGAAGAGCAGTCCAGTGTTAGGGTTTAGGGTTAGGGTTTAGGATTAGGGTTAGGGTTTAGGGTTAGGGTTAGGATTAGGGTTAGGATTTAGGGTTAGGTTTAGGGTCAGGGTTAGGGTTAGGTTTAGGGTTCAGGTTAGCGTTTAGGGTTAGGGTAAGGATTAGAGTTAGGGTTAGGATTTAGTTTTGGGTTTAGGGTTAGGGTTAGGGTTAGGTTTAGGCTTAGGTTTGTGGGTTAGGGTTAGGGTTTAGGGTTAGGGTAAGGGTTAGGTTTAGGATTTAGGGTTAGGGTTAGGTTTAGGGTAAGGATTAGTGTTCAGGTTAGGATTGGGGTTAGGATTAGAATTTACGGTTAGAGTTAAGGTTAGGGTTAGGTTTAGGGTTGAGGGTTAGGGTTAGGTTTACGGTTAGGGTTAGTGTTATGTTAAGGGTTAGGGTTAGGGCTAGTAAGGGTTAGGGTTAGGGTTGGACTTGTGGTTAGTTTAGGGTTAGGGTTAGGGTTAGTGTTGATGTTAGGGTTAGGGTTATAGTTGGGGTTAGGTTCAGGGTTAGGGTTAGGGTAGGGTTAGGATTTAGTTTTAGGTTTAGGGTTAGGGTCAGATTTAGATTCAGGGTTAGTGGTAGGTTTAGGGTAAGGGTTAGGGTTAGGGTTAGGATTTAGGGTTAGGGTTAGGTTTAGGGTAAGGATTAGGGTTCAGGTTAGGATTGGGGTTAGGGTTAGGTTTAGGTTTAGGGTTACAGTTAGGATTGGGGTTAGGATTAGGATTTACAGTTAGAATTAAGGTTAGGGTTAGGGTTGAGGGTTAGGGTTAGTTTTAGGCTTAGGTTAAGTGTTAGGGTTTGGGCTAGTTAGGATTAGGGTTAGGGTTGGACTTGTGGTTTGTTTAGGGTTAGGTTTAGGGTTAGGGTTAGAGTTGATGCCAAAAACAGCATAAAAAGACTGCTCAGAGACAGTTTTGAGTCTTTAAGCAGCAAAGGTATTTATTTTGAGCAATGTTGGGGAGTCTAGCCATCACGCGCTGGACTAACTATCTCCGAAGTTCTCAGTGAAAAGTCAGGTAATTTATACAATTTTGGTGAGGGATTACAATATTTGACATGAATATTCATTACAATTATATCATCTAGTTATAATATTCATATTAGGCAGGCTTCAGGTGGAACCTGAGGCGGAGTCATGCTTTTAGGTAAATTCTTGGGGGTCGTTCCGGTTTCTTTGGCCTCATGGTGGTCGTTCTCTCGTTCCTCATCTTCATGAACTTTTCAGCTCTTCCAGACTACATGCAAAAGTCTTACTAAAAACCTCTTTACTCAGCTCTCCAACCCCACCAAATGTCCATCATATCTAATTTATGAATACTAGGCTAAACCTTTTGTTATATTTTATTAGGATAGAGCATACCAAGGACAAACAGGCCTCTCAGAGACTGATACCTTCTCTCCCTTAATTAATCTCATAACACATTTTCTGTCTGTGTCATTACAACCTAAATGTAGTATTCCTCAAAGTGGTATCTATGAACCTCTTCACAGAGAAGGATTTTAGTCTCTAAAATCCTTGGTCTGTTTCATTTCCCCCCTTTTCTCAGGACTTACAAATTCTTTCGTCAAGTTCTAAAGACAAAGTGTTTTGGTGAGTGGACATCATTGCCCACATTGTTTGTGTGCTCTTTACTATGATGTTCAACTTATACCACAGGTAGGTGTTCAAGAAAGATAATATGACCATTCCTCCCAATATGATTAGCATGGGATGTATTAAAAAAAAATTAAACACTTGCGTTGCTCTTGGAGAGTAACCTACTAGGATGTCCCACCAATGATGTGCTCCGATTCATTCTGCATCGGCTAAAATAGACTTTATATTTTTGGAGTCATGTTTCACTTGCCACAGCATGCATTGGGTTTACTTGCTCTGTAAACATGCTCTGTTTACTTCTTGGACTAGCTTTTCTACATCTGGGTGTCTAAGCATTGCTTTAAAAAGATTGATATTCATGCCTATTTGTAATTTAGGTATATCATGATATAAAGTATAATTTATTCTAATCAATTGTTGAGTTGTTACTGGTGCAATATAATTAAAATCACAACCTATAATCTTAGTGAAATTACATACACAAAAATTAGTAGCATTAGTTATCTCATGACAATTATCTACGATAATATTAACACAAACATTTCTAACACATGCACATCCATTTCCTACATAAAATACTTGTGATTGGGCTTTAGCATGTGAGAACATTTCAAAGGTACATGTACTTTCTTCAATATCTAAACACAGGTCTTCATTTTCTATTACTGCATTTTCACAGATGTATCCTAACTATTCCCTGGGAATACAGGCCTCAGTGCTGATCGATTGCCATTTGCCTTTGGTTTGATCATAACTCACCCAAACACTATGACCTAAGGGTCTGATGATGACATTTTGGTGTATGGCTCCCAGGGTTAGGACAGGAAATATTGCCTGTTCTTGTGCTGCACTAGTAGTGAGCACATATGCTTCAATTCGTTCATGCTGTGAATTGTAGGTGAAATTTACTAAGTGCCACCAGGCTTGATGATCTTTTTCAAACTGAGTAGTGGAATCTTCTCTTGCTATTAATTCTCTAATCTCCTGGGGTAATATCCCTGATGTTCCTTCTCTGAGTATTCCTGCAGCTATAGATTGTACTCATTGTTGAGTCTGGATACACTGGATTGCAAGTGCGACCTTTTTACTAATACTTCCAGAGTAGTCGGCAATTTTAATAAAATCTTCAGCTGTGTAATTCGCTATCAATGTTAATTATTTGACAGATAGAAATTGGGTTTCTGCCAGTGTTGAGTTTTCCTAAATCAGAAGTGACAGCACTGAGTTTGTTAATTAATACTTCTTGATCTATAGTATTTAATACACCTAATCCTGTGCCAACCGACCTGGGTATATCTCTTTCTTTCCTAGGTAGGACCTAGTTGCCAGCCAAGCCTCCCATCCTTTAAGACTTTGCTCTATATAGGGCTGGCAACTTTTCTGTATGTGGGATATATTTGCTCAGACATTTATTTGTACTCTTTTTAGAGAATATGTAGGATCTAGTAATAATTTTTGTTCATTGGATTGTCTAATCACATGAGGTCCAACAAAGGTCAAGTTATGTATACTTTCACAGTTTGGAGAGGGAGTTGTGGGTGCCTCAATAAGTGGTTCAGATAGGTGCTTTCAATAGGTGCTTTAGTAGTAAGACTCTTTTTAGGTTACTAAAAAATGTTTTGGAAGCACCTCTTTCTTTACTCTTCCATGAGCACTGAACTGAAATTGATTGATCTAACCATAACTTTATCTCACACTGGGCTTTAATTTGTTCACT